CGACACCAATAGGAAATAACTTACAAGCCTTTTGGCTGTAAAGTTGGACCAACAACAAGAGCCTTGTCAGTCACACCCTTTTGAATACTCTTGGAACCTTCAGGACCTGTAGAATTCATCGAGAACGTGAGTTTAGCCTTTCCAAGACAATAAGAATGCAAAGCTTAGAAGAAACTCAAATTAGAAAATAAGCAAAACAGGTGAGACCTGGGAGAGCAAGAGCATTTGAGGTTCCTGCCTGCTCGCTGTTGCGGTCAGGTTGACGTGGAGGTTGACTCACCGGCTCAACGCCTCCAAATGCAACTTTCATCTGTAAAAGAAGAAGATTCTTAAAGTGATTATTGTACACAACTCACAGCTCGAACTCGGGTTGATCAAAGAAAACATAAAGAGTTTATGCAAATCAAACATCTTAATTAGTTTCCATGATTAAAAACTGAAAACTCAACCCTTATTGGTAGATATATAGATTGAAGAACCTAAAGGCACTGTAAAACCTGAAGTTCGAAGCTTTAAGCAATCCAATCAATCAATAGACATATAAGCGAAATCCAAAGAACGATTTGAAACAAAGTGAATAGGGATTTATCTTTACCTTATGGCTGAGGCGAATCTTCTTGCTGCGAGGAAGAAAAAATGAAAAAAAAAAACGATGAATTTCGAATAATTCTTGAGAAACGAGGATTGGAATCGAAAATTGGGGATCGGAGACTAACGCTTCGGCATCAGGAGGAGCGAATTGGCCATGGACGGGGGAGAAAAGATCAAGAGCTCGTTTGAGGGATTTGAGACTGAGCTTTTTCAGCGATTGTGGCTCAATGGGTTCGAGCTCCGTCGTCGGAGCCGGCATCGTCCTTGGTTTAGGGTTTACGGAGAGGGAGAGAGAGTCACTGAAACTGCAAACGGTTGTCTTTAAAATAATGTTGAGCTCTTTTATGTTCACACATCTCGACTTCACTATTTATTGCGCCGGAAACTAATAAAAGAAAAATCAATGTTTTTGTAACAAGAGAAAATCAATGTTTTTAAAACCGGACCGCTGACCGAACCGGAAAAGCTTTTGGGTCATGGATTAGTATGGTTAGACCAGATTCAACCGGGTTTGATAAATTTATTCAAATAATTATATATGAATTTTAAAAAAAAAACCAAAAAAAGTATAAAAGAGTTATTATTTAGAAACTTTTTTTTTTGGGTCAAATATTTAGAAACCTTATCTTTTATTTTTAAAGCAAAAATAAATAAAAAAAAATCAAATTGACTTGTTACCTTTTAAAAAACGTAAAAAAATATGATTTAAGTTTTTTTAGTTAAATTCGATTTAATACGGTTTATCGATTTATCTAATTTCCGGTTTTTGACGGTTCAATCCGGTTTTCAACTCAACCCGGCTACATTTCCGGTTTGTGGTCCAACCTGGTCTGACCGCCGGTTCGGTCCGGGTTTAAAAACACTGGAGAAAATCTAATCAAATTTTTACTGTATGTAGTAGTATCATGGAAAAAATATGCAAGTTCTAGTTTTGTAATGAAGCGAGTTAAAGACCAAAAAAAAAAACTTGGTTACTGGAAAACTGGAGCAAAATTATAGATTAAATACATTTCTCGTTAACAGTAAATAAATTAAAGGCTATTATATTCTTATCCACTTTACACACCCAATTGGAGTCATTTCTTTGGCTATGAATTGTTCTGTATCGGTTCCATAGACTAGTGTTTGAGTTTGCATCCAAGTGTACCGACTTGATCCCAATGGTCTATATATGGAGTGGTTTCCTTTGCATTGGAACTCGAATATGTTATTTTTCTTAAGACATCATTCCCCTAGTGCCTCGAGGTATAAACACTTGTTTTTCCTATTCTTAAATACAAGAGTTTACTTCTGTTACATATATTTATTCTATCAGCTTCATGAGAGATTCTTGAAGACAAAAATATTCTTCTTCTTTCAAGGACTCAAGTTGCTTGTATGTTATTGAGATAGAAGTTCAATGAGGTTATGGAGTGAATCGCGAGCTATTCTCACCTAGCCCAAATCTAATCAATGTTTCTTACACTACTACATGAGAAGAACATATGAAACTTCTTACATTCGATTTTAAGGATACACATTTACAACAAATGTTAGTTATTCCTAGAGGCTCTCAGAGTTTCAGTTCTCGTCATCAGACATGAAAGTTGGTCTTCTTCTCAGAGACTCCAGCCCATAAGCCGATGGTCGACCACTCTGGCTACCTCCACGGCTCGACCTTAGCTTCGGACCGCTCATTGCGCTAGTGGCGGCGTGGCGGCTCCACCGTTCACTTCTCTTAGCACCGACCTAGCCGCTTTGGCCGCTACCGCATCAGCAGTCGCAGAAGCCACTCTCGATTCAAGTATCTTCATATCTAAATGTATTAATAGGCAAGGGAAGGCCAAATAAGACAATGTGAGAGAGAGAGTGAGAGATATCTCATAGCAAAACTTGTTTGACAAAAGGATTACAAATATATGTCATTATCATGTATTGTATAGTGTTGGTTTCCCACTTTATTGAGGAGTAGATATAACGTTTTAGTCCTTTCCTATATATATATGATTTCTGAATACATAAATTTGGCTTTAAAAAGTGAGAAAATAGTCGTGGATGTGTTTACTTATCTGCTTTTCCTTATGGAGAAAATGAACAACGCCTTTTATCACCACAACTTCGTCAAGCAACGGGACGTGGCTCTTGAACCGGCCTTCTTGGATGTCACCGTGTGATAGGTCAAGTCTTGGTTAAGAGGAGGCTTTTACCAAACACAATTTTTTTTTTCTCTCTTAGAACATCCAGAAGAGAATCAATGTCGATGATATCTACTCCTTCTCAATAAAGTGGGAAACCAAAACCATGCAAAGTAAATATGGATCTAAATCCTTCCTGTAGTTAGTCATGTGACTGCAAATTAGAAATGTCTTTTTAGTAGTATATCTCAAAGAGATTTTCGAAGTTAATACTAATTAAGTCCAATACAATTATTCACCGATTATAGTTATTTCTTAAAAGGCAAGCAAATAAAAAGACATCATATCATATACATAAAGACGCTCTTAAAATTTCTTATATCAAGTAAGGTAAGAAAAACACATATAGCTTCTGCATCCTCATCTCTTTTGCCTATGTTGGCTAACTACACATCAGCCTTTGTAATCAACTATATTTCCAGCATCTTCACCATTGGTGACATGAGAGGCGCCTAGCAGACGAAAGACTTGTACACAATAGAGCGTGCCTTTTTACCATCATAAGCTTGTAACCTTGAGTTCACAAGATCTGCTACCTTGTTCTTCTTTCTCATAAGTCGCACTTAACCAAAAAAAAAAAAAAGACATACCCATGCATCAACAATTTTTTATTTGCTTCTATTTCCGCATACAATCTCCACAGCTAGCATTTAAAATCTCTACACAACTGATTTGTGTGATATGTGGGTTTTCATGGGATACTATTGAGCCCACCAATATCACAACGATAGTTATATTACGCAACATTCTTTGTAATCATGTATATATTTTTTCGTCTTTTCTTATTCTGTACTTATATACTTATATAATGGTATCAATTATTTTGTTTGTGGCAGCTCTGATTGCCACAAGGAAATGTTTGGATTTTGAAATACAGGCTCTTTAGAACTGAGAGAAAAACAAAGTTGTAAAGTATTATAGGAACACAAACAATATAGGCTTAAAAAACACACTAAAATGGTTATGAATCAATGCATTTATGAGCAAACTTCAAAAAATGACTAACCAAAGAGTTCTCTAGCAAGGTTATTGTTATCCAAAAACTCCTAACGGTTAAGAAAAAAGAAAGTTAGATGCTCATGACATGTCACATAGAGCATTTTTTGTGCAAAAATGTATGTTATTTTTGCATTTCTTTTAGTTTTCTTTTCTTATATAGATTTTTATGTGAAAAATGGAAACCGTTCATTGCCAACACTCATCTACCAATTATTTAATTTTTTTATGATAAATATCAAAATTTCTCATTTTTTACTCATTAAACATACCTATATTTTTAGTGGTGATAATGATAAGTATTTTTTGGCGCATATAATATATTGATTTGATAGAAAATGTAGACATAATAGCTCCTATACACACAAAAAGCAAAGAGAGCAAGAAAAAAATCTGAATAAGTCCAAAGCTAAAGTAATTTAAATCAAAGAGAGCAAGAGAAAAAACTTTATTATAAGATTGAATAAGTCCAAAGCTAAAGTAATTGATGCTCTAAAGCTACCTTTCCACTATTAAGAATGCTCACTGTTTTAGATAACATAAGTGTTGATAACAATAACTTTTTATATGCTCAAATATTTCTATTGATTCTACATGGTTTACATCTTATCAATGTTATAAAAATAAACATGTGAGAACATATACTTTTTTTGACCGGCATGTCAGATCATATACATATATCCATATTGTTTTGTCTTTACTTCTTGTGAAAGTATTAAACCACTTAAATCATTTCTGTGCGGTTAAAACTAATGAAGATACTATTACACTTAATTTGGTCAACTGCTGGTAAGAGTAAAGTTGAATGACCATAAGTCAACTTAATTTTGGATCCTATCTTCAATTATGGAATCAATGGAAAACTTCAATAGTATCCCAAATTTTGTTATGTACTCCTACTGGTGAAATATCAATGGAACAAAGAAATATGATGGCTATTATATTCCATTGACTAGAGTTTGAGTTTGCATCCAAATGTACCGACTTGATCTCAATGGTCTATATAAGGAGTGATTTCCTTTGCATTGGAACTCGAATATGTTAGTTCTCTCAAGTCATCATTCCCCTAGTGTCTCGAGAGAAACACTTGTTCTTCTTGCGACGACTTAAGTTGCTTGTCCGTTAGTTTGCGAGGTCATTGAGATTGAAGTTCGATGAGGTTATGGAGTAAATCGCGAGCTAGTCTCACCCAACCTAAAGCTCCAAATCTAATCAATGTTTCTGACACAACATGAGTAGAACATATGAAACTTCTTACATTCGATTTCAAGCATACACATTTACAACAAAAGTTATTTCTAGAGTCTCTAAGAGTTTCAGTTCTCGTCATCAGACATGAAAGTTGGTCTTCTTCTCAGAGACTCCAATACATCAGCCGATGGTCGACCACTCTGGCTACCTCCACGGCTCGACCTTAGCTTCGGAACGCTCATTGCGCTCAGTGGCGGCGTGGCGGCTCCACCGTTCACTTCTCTTAGCACCGATCTAGCCGCTTTGGCCGCTACCGCATCGGCAGCCGCAGAAGCCACTCTCGATTCAAGTCCCGAATCCCTAACATTCTCCTCGCTTGCTGCTGCTGCTGCTGGTGTTTGCTCTGGTTCACCGTTTCTATGACTTGTCCCGCAAGCAACTCCTTGGCTAGCCATGGACCTTGCCTTTGCAGCCTCGTGCTTCTGCATATCGTAAACGAGCTCTTTCTGAAGCTGTTTATCAGCTACGAGCATTTCTTCTATCTCGTTCTTGTAGTCTTTGAGAAGGACACGGAGGCAGTCCATTAGCGAACCTGTGAGAGGACTGTTTTTGCTCTCTAGTAACCTCTTGAGCTCAATGAAGATTGGAATCGTGTTCTGAATCAAGCCTTTTCTAACAGCTTGCGTTATGGCTCTTCCTTTCGCAGCAGCCGCGTTGGAATCTCCACCTTCTTCTTCCATCTCCACTGTCTCCGATGATGCTCCTCTGGAAACTGATAAACGGATCTCTTTGCACGCCAAGATCTGAAACGCATCCTACAACGCGATACAAAAGAGTAAGAACTCAACGGTTCCAACAAGAATACAACAGGGCTCAACAATTTCCACGTAGAATGGAAATTACCTGTAGAACTGACTGACCAGTGACATCTTCTATGTTCAGCATTCCATCGGAAGCAGCTGCGAGGACCTCTGCACATAACTTTGCAAATGTGGCCAGAAGATGTTCTGGAGCCATTTGTTTAAGCAGAGTAATGTAGATTTGCATTCTTTTAGACCTAGCCCTTTCATCATTTCCTCTGTAAAACAAATGTAACAAAGAGAATCACTAAAATATCACCCACACCAAAATGACAAGTTGTATATCAGCATACCTATATAACATTAACCAGGGGCTATGTATAAATATAACACGAGTACCTGATAGAGAAAGCTTGATCCTTTGTTCTTGACTGTTTAGAATCTGGATTACTATGGCCAGTGTGGGCATGGCAGTCGTTTAAGACATAAATAGCTTCCACGAAGCTGTTGTAAGCTAGAAGTGGCGCCTTCACTATAAGCAAAATGGGCATAATAACAATCAAAATCCTAGAGATCATGTCTCTCTCTGTAAGAGTTTATGATAACAGGGAATGAAAGAGTGCAGTGTATAGTTGTTCCCATGAGTTCATACCTTTAAGGATGTTTCCAAATAAAAAGTCGGCAAGTCTACGTATCTTTTCAGATTCATCAACAAGCGATAGAAGGAACCGAAGGAAGAGAACTCCTCTCCACTTCACGTAGTCTCTCTGAATCAAAATAACAAGCCTACGTATTCATCTTCAAGCTTAGATATCAAGAAAGGCAGGTACATAATCTGTAGAGAATATTAATACCTGTAATAACCTCGAAAGAAGTATGAAGGTCTGCCTTCTGACAACTTCACAAGGATCCCGAAGACGTTTAGTAATCTTCGGTATGTAACTATCAACGTAAACAATGTATCAGTCTTCGTCATATAACAGTTATGTGTTTTTAACATTTTGAGAAAAGACTGATGAAACGTTAATGTTCTGTGAATGATTTACCACTCAATCATGGCCGTATAGTGAACACAAAAGTCTGTCATCGCCACTACAAGATTGTTACGCAAGGCTGCACAATCACTCTTTTCAAGCTCCTGCAAGAGTAAGGCATCAACGAGTTCAAATAGGTTACAATAGACTGCATATATTAAGGAGACTGCTTTTAAATGAATTAATCCCAATGGATATAGCTTCCTGAAACTAAAATTTTCCTTTCCAGAAATAATTAAAAATAATAAATGGACAGAGGAATCAGCAAAGGCAAAACAACAGACCTGAGCAAAGAGAGGGATATATCTTTTAGCAAGCTTCCCGTCAGCCAAACAAAGCTTCGCCATGGTCAACCAAGACTGACTATAGAACGGAGGAGCTTTTTGCTTCATGCAAACATTAGCTTGTGGAAATTTTTTTTTCAGCTTTGAATCAGAGTTTCCTGAAGTGATGACAGTATGTAACAACGGAACAATTTTGGTCGTGTCAGCTGAAGGATATATAATGAGACAAGATCCAATGGTATATACTGCTGTGACAGCTTTTGATAACTTCTGGGATACAGAACCCAATCTCTTGCTTCTCCTACTTCCAAGTGTTGCTGGTGTAACAAAAGAATGATTATTACTGGAGACCCCCTCGATGTACTTCTCGGTGACCTTAGATGCCTTAGATAAAACTTGTTCTACCCACTTCTTGACAAGCACATCAGACTTCTCAGAGGTGCACGCCTTCCTTAGGCACAAAGTTTTTAATGCTTTAACATGTGCATCGACCTGTCATTGAATGGCATTGACTAAGATCATGAGACAGATTAACCATATATGAATTAACGCCTCAAACCAGTGAATAATAATCTGCTCGATTCAAGCGTTCAACAGTTGCACTAAAATATCTCTTTGAAGGAATACGTCCTTTAGTACAAAAATAGTAAGTTGCTATGCCTTCGAAACATGACCGCTCGATTTTCTATAGGAGATATTCGGTTAGCTATTAATCCAATGATTACCTCAGCAGAGTGCAGGTTAAACTTTTCGATTTTCTTCAGCAAATTGTCGGCCAGGTCTGCAGCAGGCTCTGGTGGCAGCTGTAGCGAAACATTGGAGATTGTTTGCAAAAGACAAACTCGATCGCCAGCCCATGTAGAGGAATTACACTCTACACCCTCTTCATCACCTTCTTCATCTGTTCGTTCAGAAATAGTCGCATTATCAGAAACACATATTCATCAATTGGTTTAGCTAGAGCAGAAGTTCAAATTAAAACCACACTATTAATAGCAACAAGTTAGTTGAGATGTCGAATGATGAATGAACTGGCAAACCTTGCAAGTCATTCTTGTCAAGCAACTGCCAATGATGGTGAAGAAATTCCCATTCCACAGACTTTGGAAGATAAACTGAAACCTCTGATAGAAGAAACCAAGCCCCGGCAGGAGCTGTCCATTTATTTATTGGCATTGAACGGCCTAACCAGAGTGATTCAGATTCCTTAATGATACTCTGCAGCGCAAGGGCAACTCTTGGTTTTAGTTGCTTCTTCTTGCCCAAACTTCCACATATTTTCTTAACCCAAGGAGAAACCTCGCTGTTGCAAAGCTCCTTTAATAGAACCAAAACTCCTTCTGGAAACAAGGCTTCAATGTCTCGGTCTGCATCTCTTGAACTAGAAGCACTGTCTCGAGAAAGTGCACTCCCCGCTCGTGATATTCTCTCCAGAGCTAGTTCATGAAAGACATTCTCGCATTCTTCTTGGATGCTAGTTTCATTGTCCATGATCATCCGAGGAACAGAATGTAACCATTCAGTGGTCACATTTTCATCTGTACATATTCTGAAGGCCTACAGTGAACAGAAAAGATATTGGTTTACATTATCAGAGAAAAAAACGAAGCTGAAGTAATATGATAACAAATCAGTAGCCTAACCTATATTTAGAGATAAGTTAGGCATAAACAGTTATCGGATTTTAGAACTAGCAATAGAAGTTGTTACGTATTCTTCCATACAATGACTGACCAAAACGGACATTCATTCATCTAGAACATTTTGAGCCAACAAATTTGGTCTCCCTAACTTTGAGCTAATAGAAGACAAAGCACCTGTACCACCGAGTTAAGGGAGAAGGACGAGGAAGACACTGAGTTATACAGAAGACATACCTCGGAAAGAGCTGAAATTGCAGCCTTTCTTATACTTATGAGCGGATCAGAACAAGAAGTACCCATTGTCTTTAGGATACTAGCATCAAAGCAACCACCTAAAAGGGATGTCAATTTTGTGACCAGAAGAAGAGCTGCTCTCCTTGTAGCCGCCTTCTCATCCACGCATCTCTTCTTCAAAAGGTCAGTTACAATACCATTTCCCTCCGAAATCTCACCACTAAACCCAAGGGCTTGTTTCAGGACCGACCTACTCCTTTCATCACCAGACAAGAACCCCACGACTTGAGCCAAGTTGGATAAAGCTCGAGCTCTAATCAATGTGTTCGAGTCCGAGCATCGCTGCACTAAGGCATTAAGACAACCCAATCCCCACGAATCTTGCACACCATTCTCTGAACTAACAACTCCTAAGGGGTTTCCTAATGAGCTCATCAACAAAGGTATAAGATCAACAGCTAATATCCTGAAATTAGATTTACCTTGACCCATCTTCATCACAAATTCAACAAACTCTGATTGGTCCTCAGCCTCCATTGCCTTTACTATCTCCATTATCGCCTCCACCGCAAATCCACGCGGCTCAGCCTTCTCAGGTGCCTTATGAACCAGAAACTTTGACAAATTAGAAACAACTTTCTTCAATTCAGAGTTATCTTTACCCAAACCCATAATTTTCCTCGACACAAAACCTAACGCGAAGCTTCTCGCCTGATGTTTCCCCATCAGAAGCAACGGCGTCAAAGACTTCGAAATCTCCGCCGCCGTGATTGCCGTGTCTCCGTGATCGGAGTTCAACACTCCACCCAGAATCCTCCCGCATATTTCCATCAATCGATCATAGTTCAAAACCCCTGAATGTTCCAGCGCCAATAGAGGAATCTCGCTCACTGTTTGTACCAAAGACTTCAAGCTATCGGGAAATCTATCCAAATGAACAAAACTCAGAACCGATCCCAGAAGCTCGAGCACTCTAAACAGCAATTTCGCATCGAATCCACCTTCTTCCATCTCGTCCCCATCTTCATGCCCTAAATTTCTCGCGTTATTCTTCGAACCGCGTCCTCTCTTCTTCTTGTTCCCTTGAGAGGAGGCCGCCGTTTCCGAATCATTCCGGTGGCGGCGTTTGAGGTAGCGGCGGATTGAGCCCAGTAGAGAGAGAAACGCAACCGGAGAGAAGAAAGTGAAAACGGGGCAGTTCGTCGAAAGAAGCAGACAGAGATATGCGTCGGAGGCTAAAATTGCCAGACGGCCAGATTCGACCGGTGAATCCATGGCGGCGGAGAAGCAGCGGAGAAACGATGAAGCCACCGAGGAGAGTCTGCCGTAGAAACGTTCGAGGATTTCATCGTCGTCTGTCTCCAGGAGAGACTTGAGATCCGTGACGAGTTCGTGGTAGGAAGATTCATCGTCTCCGCCTCCTCCTTCGATTCCTGCTATGATTCTAGCAAGCAAGAGCTCCTCATCCATGGCTACTCTAATGACTACTGAGAGGAGTTCGGATTCACAGAATTTTAGGGGAAAAGTTCAAAACTTTTTGGAATTCCCGCTAATCTATTCGTTTTTATCAAAATTCAGAGTGGGACGAATAAAAAGTTAGGGGCGAATTAAACATTTTGATAAAAAGCAGACCCCTTAATGGTAACTCGATGTAGAGTTTTTATTCCTGTGTTTCGACTCCAGCGTACACACCCTCATTACGCACACTTGATATAAATCGTAAATAGTAAAATGTGCCATTCTACTTGCATTTAGTTATAGTTTTGTAAATGACGTTGGTTTAACCAAATAATAATATATTCAAGTGGTTATCATGTTGGTCAAAACTCAAAAGTAAACCCATCAAACTTAACGATCATCATGATTCAGGCATCATAAAGCATGTCATATATCGTCATCTAGCATCATGGAATCAAATACATCAAGTTTCTCTCTTACACATTTCTGTTGATTAACTTTTCTGCTTCCTTTGCAGTTTGAGACTAATCACACTGACGAGTATCTCACATGTGTAAATGGTCTTTTCATAAAAGTTCACTTCACCTCGTACACAAACTCCATAGTTGGTAGTTGTCCGTTGAATGTCATAACCGTAGGTATAAAAAACATAGTCATGGGTGAAATACATAATTGCAGTAGTTATCTTAGATATAATAGGACCATGGAGCAACTCATGAAACCATACTGCGTATGTCATGTCATCATGATCGATCTGAGCTTTTAACCACAATGCATAATATTGGTCTTTCCGATTGTTAATTTCATCTTCTGAAACACCGTCAATGCATTCTCGGACTTGACTAACAAAAGTGCTGAAATTAAAAAACATTGTTATGGAATATATTTTTTTCTCAGCATCAATTCAATCAATATATATATAATCATGCATATATATAATTCTGTAGTACCTCTCGTAAGGTGCCAATTCGCCGCAGTTCAGAAGTATGTATGTATGTGCGCTGTGGTAGTCCTGTTCGTTTGACCAACAAGTTTCTTTTAGTTTCCCACTTAGACGTCCAATTGGTGAGAATATATCTGGCACACCTTCTACTGCGTAAATTTGTCCTACACCCCTATCGTCATAACGTCTTGGAGCCCGTTTGTGTGTACAAACCTTCGGAGCAAAATAGTAAGACGTGAAATGAGAAGTCTCTTCTGTCAAACTTCCCGCCACGATAGACCCTTCAACTTTTGCTAAGGTTTTAGCCTTACCCTTTAAATGCTTCATAAAGCGTTCAAACGGATACATCCACCTAAACTGAACAGGTCTTCCTAACTCTGCTTCGTGAGGGAGGTGTATAGGTAAATGTTCCATAACATCGAAGAAAGCAGGTGGAAATATTTTCTCTAAATTGCACAACAATATTAGAATATTTGTCGAAAGTTGTGCAACTACATCTGCTGATAATGTCATTATACTTAAATCACGAAAGAAAGCTCCAATGCCTCATAGTGCTTCATGGATATGTCCCGGTATGAGTTCAGCAAACGCAAAAGGAAGTAATCGTTGCATAAACAGATGACAATCATGACTTTTCATCCCTGAAAACTTTTGTCCTTTATCTACAGATTTAGCCAGATTAGATACATACCCATCACAAAATTTCACGGCTGATGATACCCAATTAAACAATGCCACTTTTTGTTCTGCATCCAACCGAAATACAGGAACTGGTGCTTTCCCATTACTCACAATATGCAACTCAATTCTATTACATATATCAGGCAAGTCCATCCGTGATTTAACGTTGTCTTTGGTTCTTCCTTGGACGTTCAAAACGGTATGCATGCTGTTATCGAAAAAATTCTTCTCAATGTGCATAACATCAAGATTATGTCTTAGCAAATGATCTTTCTAGTATAGCAGATCCCAAAATATACTTTTTTGTGCCAATTATGATGAACCCCATATCCTTCAGGCATATTCGCTGGAATGTGCCAATTTCCTCCTCGGGGGACCATTTCAAGTCCATCCCAATAATCTATTTGCGCTTCAAGATATACCCCAGTTAAGTACACTGGTGGAGGGAGACGAACCAATTTGTTCTTTATAAACAAACGCTTGTTTATTCTATATTGATGGTTTGGTGGTAAAAACCGACGGTGGTAATCAAACCAACAGGTTTTCCGACCATGTTTAAGTTGAAATGCATCAGTCCTATCAAGACAATAAGGACATGATAACCTTCCATGCGTTGTCCAACCTGATAGCATTCCGTATGTCGGGAAATCGCTTATTGTCCACATAAGCATCGCTCGCATCGTAAAATTTTTACCACTCGAACAGTCATATGTTCATACTCCGACATGCCACAACTGGTTTAACTCATGTATGAGTGGCTGCAAAAACACTTCAAGGGCCCGCTTCGGATGATTTGGACCAGGGACTAAGATACTTAGAAACAAAAACTTCCTTTGCATGCACATATCTGGAGGAAGGCTATATGGCGTAAGAATCACAGGCCATAATGAATATTGCCTACCAGACATACTAAATGGACTAAACCCGTCAATGCAAAGACCAAGATAAACATTTCGCTTAGATCTAGCAAAGTCTGGATGTGCGGTGTTAAAATGTTTCCAAGATTTCTCGTCAGAAGGGTGAGTCATTTTGCCATCTGTTTGTGAATGTTCTGAATGTCATCTCATCGACGCAGCTGTCCATTCAGATTGATATAGTCTTTTTAACCTATCAGTGATAGGAAGATACCACATTCGTTGGTACGGAATCTTCTTATGCCCAGCAATTTGCGGTCTATATCTTGGCTTTTGGCAGAAACAACATTCTTGAAGCTTCTCATCATCTCTCCAAAAAAGCATACAACTATCAACACAAACATCAATCATCTTAGAAGGCAATCCAAGACTAAAAACCAGCTTCTGAATTTCATAATACGTTTCAGCAGCCAAATTATCATCTGGCAAATACTCTTTAATAAGATATGCCCAATCGTTCATGCAAACTTCAGATAGATTGTGATCAATTTTTATTGTCATCATCCGAGCTGCTAATGATAATTTAGATAAACTTTCCCTACATCCCTCGTAAAGAGGCTGTTTTGCTGCGTTTAACATATCATAAAAGCGTTTCGCATCTGCATTGGGCTCCTCAACAATATCATCAGCATGTGTTTCATGAAATGCATCAGTAACCATATCATGTATTCTATCCTGATCTTCACCCTGAACTTGATTACTTTGATAATCATTTGATGCTTCAAAATCTCCATGTTCTTGATGATTACTACTACTCCGTACAGCCATCTGACCATTATTTTAACCATATCTCTCTCCATGCTGATACCAAATAAAGTATTGTGGCATGAACTCTCTATTCAATAAATGCTGCCAGACAGTGTCAATAGAAATATGTTTCCTATTTTTGCATTTCACGCAAGGACAATACATTTTGCCGCTTTCAATTACAGTTTGCATAAGGCCGACCTGGTACATGAATATTTCCAATCCGTTTTTGAAGTCTTCAGTCAACGACCCATCAACATATTTGGGCGTATACATCCACTTTCGTATATCGTATATAGACATTTCAAAAACAAATAATTGATTTTTTGTTTTTGAACTTTGATATAAATTTCAACTACTAAAAATTTTACTCAAACATTCAAAGACTCAAAAAATTGTGTCTTTATATGTTTTTTTTAGGTTGATAGAATGATGAGAGAAGAGAGGGTATATATAGATTTTTTGTTTGGTTACCAACATATTGCCATTGAATATTTACATCAAATTTATGTCGAAATATAAGTTACATCATATTTACATCGATATTATGTCAACTACAAGATCGAGGACAACTCATTGTATAATCGACGTAAATTTTACGACAATGTTACGACGAAATAAAATTCCTTCTTCATTCGTCGTAATATCGTCGTAATTTTACGACGAGAGTATTATTTTACGTCGAAATTACGACGAAATATGTAGACGTCGTAAAACTTACGTAATTTAGCCGTAAATTTACTATTTCGAAGAATCAACGTAAAAAATTCGTTGGAAATGCCCCTCTTTCTTGTAGTATGGTTACTATAACTCTTCCAATCTAACTTATATAATGGCTTCAATTTTAATACCAATAACCGAACTTTTTACATATGGTTTGCTTTGGTACGAGATAATACTGAGTTTTATCGACCGCGCTCTAATGCGACAAGATTGTCGGATTTCATGGTTTCTCTGACAAAAACCTTGCCAACGATCTTGAGTGCCAATGCAACGTCTAGAAATTTGATCAAATTAGTCCAATATCTATCTTTATCTATTTTTATGAAACTTTCTACATTTGGAGTTATTAACTACTCAAATCGACTATAGACTGAAGTAATTTTCTATATTTCTCTGAGTCAAATTCTGTCAAATGATATTGGTTTTTCTTTAAGACCAAGAAGCGTGATGCTCGGCACAAATGTTATGTGTAAATCGCTAGTACGAATGGATCGTTCTATATCTAAATCTTTATTTTAAGTTTTCACTGATCTTTCATGTCATTATGGTTGAAACCATTGTCCATCATCTTAATCATCGAACCTGTCATTTTTTGTAAATGGTAAATCGTAAATCACGTTCATCTAACCAAATGATTATACTCATTGTTTTGTTGGTCAGATTTAAATAATCGATTAATTTTAATTTGATTCAAATTTTTATGTTTAGGGAGATTGTAAACAAATAAGTAGATGTGCGTGTAGACGCCATATAATGTGTATACGAAACATGCAAATGTAAATTTGGTGTATGTAGTAATGTAGGCGCGCATTGAGTGATTATCATAAGATTTTCGGTTGATTTATTATTCATTAAACATTAATCGTTTGCTGCTGGTTAATGTCATATGATTTAGACTTATATAATTTTTATTTGGTGATGTAACTGGTCAACATAAATAGGTATACAAGAGTTTATATAAATGGGAGATAGGTGTGTGTGTACAAGAAAGAGATTAGAGTGTA